CTTTGTCAGAGCAACTTCAGAACACTTGCTCTGTTGAGTGGCAGCGGGGGCAGTGCAGGTGTCAGCCCTCCAGACTCAGCTGCCACATCTCTCAAGTGGAGGTGAAAACAGGCCCCTGGACCTCAGAGGCAAGAGAGTCAGGCAAGGACACAGGACTTGTCCACAGCGCGCCACCAAAGGACACAGGAAACTGGAAAGATGGTGATTTCTAGAAGGGGAAAGCAGGCTCTGAGGTGGAAGGCTCTGGCCCATAGCCACAGAGCAGGTGCAGACAGAGCTGGGCTCAGGCCCAAGACCTGGCAGTGATGTCACTGTACGAAGCTCCCACTGTCCTGCGCTTCCAGGTGCCCCTGGGATGAGTCCCTTCACCCTTGGGCAGAGTTCTCAGAATGCCAGCCCTTCTCCAGACTCGAAGTGCTGCCTTGGTAGACCCAAGCACTCCTGAAGACACCCGCATCTTCATTTCTTACCAAGGGCCAGCACTGAGCCTCTGCCTTGAGCCCTGGCCCGTTCTGTCCACTTTCTTAGAGAGTCCAAGTCTTAGCCAAATTCCTCAGCCAGAACACTTGAGAACTCTAAAGCCACTACCTCAGCACACTCAGCACGCCCCCTCCCCAGGCCCTGCTCTCTTCTGTATTTGCAACCTTGAAGTTGTGTCTTCCTCCAAAGCCCCAAGTCTGAATCTCTGGCTGGGGCTCTCTTGCCCTCTCCCTCGGAGTGCAAGGCCAAGTTTGTTTCTCCAGGGTTAGACCTGGCATGAATGGCACTAGGCTCTGGAACTCAGGTGTGTGCTTCACTAATGGCTGACTTAGACTGTGAAGGCACCAGGCCTGTACTGAGGAGGCTTCTGGCCACCAAGTCCTGTGCCATGAGGTGTCCAGGAAGGCCCTCCCAGGAGCAGAGGCTACCAAAGGGCACAAGTTTACAAAGCTCAGAAGAGGCCCTGGTGTTCCAAGCTCATTTGAATCCTGGGCTGGAAAGGACATCCGAGGTCAAAATGCTGGTGGCTATGAAAATCTTTAGATTGAGCTGGGGTGTTCTTCTTGCTAGCACTTTTGTTGTGTTAAAGTTACTGGGTGCTTTCTGACTTACTCTCTGCCCTGCACAGAGCATCCTGGCTCCTGCTTCTTCTGACATGCTCAGACCATGCAAACCGTACTGGCAAGGAGGTCTACTGTCAGCTGTCCCTGCTCTTGCACCTTCCTCCTTGGGGGCACTAAGGAAATCGAGCTCTCTGGTTTTCAGGGGACTTCACAGGCTGATGTGTGCAGGTCTTTTGACTCTGGACTGGAGCCCAGGGAGGGCCTCGTCAGGGAGCACTACTTCTGTCCTCTACTCCTGTGGGCACATGTGTGCCCTCATGGAAGCCAGAGCTATCTTCTGGACACTGAATCATCTCTGTGGGGGAGATCTTTTGATTTTAAATAAAAAAAAACTCGACTCAGAGCTGCTCCACAGACAACTGGACATCTCATGCCTTCTGCTCCTTTGTACAGTGGACCTCTGCTCAGCTGCCAGGGTCCTCTAAGTAAACCCTCTGCTGGCTCCACTCTTCAGGAAAGGTCAGCTGATCTTTCTCCATGGGGCTTGGGCATTTGTGAGGGTTCATCCACTTTTGGGTTCCCAGCACACCTGATGGGCACAGTCAGCACCAAAGGACACAGGAGAAGTGGCAGCAAGAACCTAAAGCTTGATCCCAGAAGTGGGAAGCAAACAAGTCTGTCTGGTTTTTAGACATATCCAGTTTTCCACCAAATGCTTGCATTGAAATACACTTTTTTTTGGTACTGGGAATGAAATTCATGACCTCACTGCTTTCCAGGCAGGTGCTGTGCCACTGAGTTATGTCCCTGGCCCTTGTGTTCAAATACAAAGGCAAGGAGTAGCATGGAGTACCTCCTGGGTGCCCAGCCGGCCTCCAAATAGGAGTCAGCTCTACAGGAAGGAGAGGGCACTTCTCAGGGGTGCATCTGTGACTGTCTGCGTCTGAGGCCTCTCAAAGGCCCATGTGGAAAAGACTTCGTTACTAGCTTGGTGCTGTTGGGAAGCGACAGGACCTTGAAGCAGTGTGGCCTGGAGGGAGGCTGGTCACCGAGGGGATGTCCTTGAAGGCACAGTGAGACTTAAGCTTTTCCACCCAAGTTTGCACTTCCAGCCCTTAGGTGGGTTGTTTCGTTCCCATGTGTGCCCCTGCACAGGCCTACAGCAGCTATGCCAACCTCTACAACTGCCAAAATAAACCCTTTTTCTTTGTAAATGGATCATCTCAGACATCACAGTACAGGCCAAAGTACCGACGGCATCTGGGTAGCGGCAAGAGTGATAAAAACAATACTAAGAGTAGCTAAGTCTTATTGCGACCAAGGTTGTCCCTGCTCTTGTCCTTCCCACCCATTCTCTCACTAAGACCCGCAACTGCTCCTAGATGAAGGCGCTCCTGTTTTGTTTATTGTAGACAGGAGGAAACTTAGGTTCAGGGAGGTAGAGTTACTGGCCAAAGCTGCACAGCCAGGGAGTGGCCTGGCTGGGATTTTCACCAGGGAATGTCTCAGGGTAGTGCTCTGGACCTCGGGATGGTGCACAGTGGCACTCACTGGGCGGCCTTGTTGGGGGACACAAGCAGGGTGGAATGTGGGGTTCTGGGGTAGGAGGGAGACAGGCGCTGGGATGCCTTGCCTTTGGCACATTCTGAGGAAACCCTGGGAGTTCTCCTCACACTGCTGATGGGTGCAAGGCCCGGCTCTGAGCAGGAGAACACTTGGGGGGGCTCTAGATGAGTTGGGCGGCTAGGAATGAGGGACAGCAAGCAGATTACAAACCTTCCCACGTTTAGAAGAAATCGAGAATGACATCCTGAAGCAAACCTGGCGCACCCTGGTTGTACCACCTGCTGCTCTATCAGCCCCTGGCATGGTGCAAGCTGGTGATGACAGATGTGGGGAGAGCCACCGATGTCCTTATCGTGTCATAAATGAGGACTAGTGCCCACAGGGACTCTTCATGGGCCAGCCTCTTGTCTGTTCTGCAGCCATGGGAGCAAGGTACCCATTTTTCCCATGAGAGGACTGAGGGCCAGGAGGGCGAGTGATGGGCTCGAGGCGGTTGATGCGCAGTGCTGGACTAGAGCGGGCCAGGGAGGAGCCTGGGCTGCAAAGGGAGGAGGCCTGGCTCTCCTTCCTGCCACTGCCAAATCCCTTTCCCCCACCATCTGCCTGCCTTGCTATTTCCGGCTGCCGGAAGCACCGTGGGCCTCCTTGTTCCTGCCCATCTCCAAGGACAGAGACTGAAAGTGCACAGAGAGACCTCAAGCATATTTGAGAAGTGTTCTAGGTGAGGCAGCTGTAGGTGAGGTGAAGGAGTAGCCAGGTCTGGAAGAGGTGCTCAGCTCCCTGAGCACTAATGAATTTCTGTGGTTCCCGGCTTGGCTTTTGATTGGCAAGTTTGTGCAGTGGGCCCAGTGCAGGAAGGGCCCGTGTGTGGGGACACAGAGTGGAGGACCTGGCCTCGGCCTCTCCTCGGACAAAGCCGCACTGCGGAGCATAGCGCCTGCACAAGGCATCAGCGGCAGAACTCATCAAAGCGCATGCGCAAAGAACACGCTCTATAGGCCCAGCAGCAGGAAGCACTGACTGGAGTCACCTCCCTCACCCACACGCATCTCACTGAGGCAGGTAATCTTCTCATCCTCACTCTACAGGTAACAAAACTGCGGCAGAAAAGGCTGTCTAGCTTGCTCACTCAGGCAGAATGCAGCAGAGCTGAGAGGCCCAAGAAAATCTTCTCTGGGTGAAAGAAGAAACCACAGATGAGCTCATACAGGGTGGACTTGTGCCCCGAGGCCTTGCAGAGCCCTCTGGGAGATCTGGGGTTGCAACAGCCACCCAGGGGCCTGGGAATTCTCCGTGCTTTGGTAAAGTTGGACTGAAACTTCCAGGAAGTGGTGAAAGCGACTGTGCTGTATCAGTCAGCAACAAGAGGGGCTCACGTTTTTCTCTCTGAACCTGACTACACATTTCACCTCACCTTCACCCTGAGGAAGTGGGCTCTATGACAGTTCTAGGGGCTTGGCCAGGCACGTGAGGAGGCACAGAGCTTGCCAGCAGGGTCCTTGCCTCAGCCTGCCTGCTACCTTCACAGGGGTCACACTGGACACCCTGACACCCAGGGCTCCCACTAGGGCAGCAGTCCTGTACTGCAGTGCAGACCCATGTGAGGCTGTGGATGAGAAGTAACAAGCTGTGAGGCCTGGAGAGGCTGCTGGGATACGCTTATCCCAGAGCTGGGCAGGCCCGCAGGGTTACTGCCCTCGTTTTGCAGATGGAGACTGTGTGAGGTGAGCTATCCAGTACGGAAGGAGGGCAGGTGCTCCTCCAGTGAGGAGATTCTGCCAGAAGTACGGACAGGTAGAGCCTGTGAGTGGGGTTCTGGCCGAGGGTCTTCTCTCAGGGGTCCCTCATTTTCAAAACAGCAATGTGAGGTACCAACATTGCTTCTGCATCTATTTCACAGATGGGGAAGCTGAGGCTCAGAGATACTGAGCACCTACTTCGGATTGCCTGTCGGGGAGTAGCAGATGTCAGATCAAACCAGTCCGCATGACTCTGAAGTTGGCCAGCTTTACCTGGCCCCACTATACCTCCAAGATCAAACGAGTTTAGGTGCAGCACTGAGGAACTGCCTCAGAGTTGGCTGGAGGTAGACGTGAGGATTTTGAAATTAGGCCTTTCTGGCTTCAAGGCCTGGCCTGACCCACTGTGCCCAGTCCCAGGCGGAGACTTGAGGTGGAGCCCTTTTGCTTAGCCCCCAGACCTCCCCCAGCAGGGTAAGGTTTGTGGGGGCCAACACTGTACTCTGAGTCCCATGAAAGTGAGCAAGCCCCAACAGAGAGCAGAGGCCTTTGATTCCAGGCCGTGGACCTCTCCCTCAGTCCTCCCACCCCCCTCCGCAACTTGAGCCTGGGCTGGGCAGGTTGCCACGGTGACAGCACATTGGATACTGACCTGGGGGCCCACTGGCTATGCAGGGGATGGGTAGGTCTTGCCTCAAAGGGACGGCTTCAGGCATGGAGGACAGAGGGCCCCAGGGCCCTGTGTCGGCTGCTGCTGCTTGCTGGGGCAGGCTAGGCAGAAGCTGCTATTTATAATTCTGCTGAATGGGCCCAGTGACCTAATCTGCAGTCCCACCTGCCCGGGAACCCAGCAGCTGCAACCAAGGAGGAACCAGCTCAGAGATGTCTGTACTAAGCACCTGCTGGGAGGAGAGGCTGGGGAGCACAGGCCTCATCTTCCCCTGTGCACCCCATCCTGCCCTGTGTTCTACAGCCAGTGTGTGTGAGAAGAGTGGAGAGGGCAGGGAAGGAGGGAGCCAAGTGGGGACAGGGAGGCTGTGAGGCAGAACAGAACTTGAGGGCTGGGGTGGAGAGAGAGAGGGGGAAGAGGGAAATGAGGAGACTAAAGGAGAGATCCCTGAGAGGGAGGAGGACAGAGCCAGGGATAGGACAGAGGCCCCGAAGTCCAGACTCAGATGGAGACAGAGATCAGCTGAGACAGGGCAAAGGGGGGCCAAAAGGCTGCAGTGCGCCCTCTGCTGCCTGCCAGTCTTTGGTCCTGGCCAAGCCACTATGCTGGTCTGGAAGCTGCAAGCCTGGCTGGGTCTCTGGGGACAGCCAGCACTGGCACTCTGCCTGGCACCCCTTCTAGGCCCTTCTCGCCACCTGGGGTCCTGGGCCAGGCTCCAAGGTTGCTGGAACCCGGCTGGGAAGGGCACGGCTTCTGAGGCTTGCCGAGCTGTCCGCCCTCAGATCTGGGTTATTTTGGGAGCCGAACTGCCAGAACTACCCACCCCCCCCATGCACGGGCTAGTGGCTACTGACTCAAAATATTCTCTCAAGGAAACTGTCTCCCCAAAAGCCAATGTCACTGCTTCTGGGAGTCCTCCTGTGACTCACTCAGAACTGCTGGGTGGCACTTTCAGCCCAGCACTTGTCCCACAGAAGCTTATCTGCCCACGTTCCCCATCAGACCGTAAGCCCAGTAGGTGTCGGGGTTGGTGCACACCCTGTTTGGTGGGGTTTACTGTGATGGGAGGTGGGTAACAGGTGTTCTGGGTGGGCTGGGGGATGCCTGGCAATCAAAATCAGTTTTGGGGCAGGTATCTTTGAGACATTTGTGCAATGTCCAAACACAGATGCCAGGCGGGCAGTCAGATGCATGAGCCAGAGCAGAGAAGGGTCTCAGCTGAGACAACATGGAAACAAAATGCAGACTGTATGGCCCAGGAAGGATGAGCTTACCCAGAGAGGGGGCTCAGGAGAGGAGAGAAGAGAACGGGCTTGAGAGTTGAAGAGGACCAGGTCATACAGCCAGATGGGCTCCCCACCGTCCCAGAAAAAGGTTAGAAATTCTTGGCCTGACACACTTCTTGGGCTGCCTCCTTCACCCCACTCACAGCTGCTTGCCCCTTCCTGTACCTTTCATCATAACAACAAGAAACACATGCCAGGCTGCACATGTCCAGCCTGCATCCAGGCAGTGCCTCCTTCTGGAAACACCCTTCTGTGGCCAAGTTGATGTGCTTCTACAGTGCCAGCCGAGGATGCTCAGCCCAGCTGCTCAGCACGCTGGCAGCACTCAGCTCTGTGTCCTGGGCACGTGTCTACCCCAGGTCCAGCGTGCTGTGTCACCCACAAGTCTGAAGCCCATGCCATGGGGGGGGGGTGCTGCTTGCAGCTTCTCCATGCCCAGCTTGAGCCTGGGCTGCTGAGAGAGAAGGCAAGCACAGACGAGGCTCTTGGGCATCAGAATGGGGGCTGAGCACTTTGCTGACCTCACCTGCACTGTCACAGGAGGAGGAAATGAAGACAAAAGCAGAAGGGAGCACTCTAACTCATCTTCCTATCACCCAAGCTGATGATCAGACGTCTTTTTGAGAAATTAGTACACAAGGAGCTGAGGGCCTGGGCTGGAGGCTCCTGTCAAGTGCCTCTCTCTCCTGGGCCACTGCTGCTCTGTGTTTGGTTTCCCTGCCCTGGGCTCTTGTGTTTTTCTCAGGAGGAAGCTGAGGCTCTTACCAGCTTCTCAAAGGAGTCCCTGACCCACAAAGAACCAGGATTAGTGCTACGGGCCCAGTCCACTTCCTGGTTCCATGAATGTTATGTAGAAAGGATGCCAACACGGTAGACCCAGAAGGTAAGAGCAGCAAAACAAAGGTCAAGGTTGACTCCAGGCGCAGGGACCCCAGCCAGGCCAGGCCAGGTATGAGGCCATCCTCTCTAGCCACCCAGCGCGAGAGTGACCAGAGAGAGGAGGAAGCCCACAGCCTTCCCACCCAAGCAAGATGCAAAGCTACCACTCCTACTGCCTGCAACCATGTCTGACCAGCCTTTGCCTTTGGGTTCAGGAGGGGGGATGCCATCTGCCTCTGCCCTGAGCAGGACTGGGGCTGGGCAAGGAGCTCTGGGATGGTTGCTACATTGTATCAGTTTGAGAAGTTTGGAAGCTTAACTGCATAACTCAGCAGGTCTATATTCTAGGGGTGTAAAGGACGTGCCTTTACCTCTAAGATGTTGTTCATTGTGTCAACTTGAGAAGTTTAGAAGTTTAACTAAGGGACTCAGCAGGGGCCAGGGGCTTCACTTTGTAAACATCCTGAGCCTGTGCAAGAGGGCAGGGGGATGGTGTGAAGGCTGCACCCACCTAGGGTGGGTAGGCCAGCTCCTCTTCCCTTTTTGTTCTTCTTGCTTTTGCTGTCTTCAGCTGCCTTGAAGGGTTGCCCCTCACCATGCCACCCTGCCTTGGAGCCAGCTGAGTATGGTCTGAAACCTCCACAAACTGTTAGCTAAATAAAGCTTGCCTTCCTTAATTTTGGGTATCGGATATTTACCTCAGCAATGAGAGAAAAATAACCAGCGCAAACTCTGAATGTGAAGGAGCCCAAGGTTGGCCAGAGAGGAAGCAGATGTAGGGTCTGAGCTCCACCTCTGGGGGGTCAGGGCAGGGCCTTAGAAATCTTAGGGCTCATTGGCCTGGACCCTGGACGAGGCGCGGTCTGGACATGGCCTGCATGCACTTAGTTTAGATCTGTGGGTGACACAGTGGGGAATGGCAGTGGGCCCAAAGGGCAGCCTGTGGCCCGAGGTGCCAGCTGAATGCAGAGCCTCGCCTGTAGCTCCAGCAGTGCAGGCCTTGCGGTGAGCAGCAGACCCGGGCTCCCTGCCCAGCCTCTTAGCCCTCTACCTCTGGCAGCCTGCCAGCCCAGTGAGTCCATTTCTTCTGGTATGCTTGTGTCTTCTCTATGTTCTTTGACAAATCATTTCCTGGGGAAGATATTTTATATTCTCTAGTAGTAGCTTTCTATTTAGTTGTAGGAGCCCTTTTGATAATTTCCATCCACTTTTCTATCATGGTTAAATCTTTTTTTTTTTAAATTTTTTTTAATTTATGTGTGTGTGTGTGTGTGTGTGTGTGTGTGTGTGTGTGGCCAGCTCAGCCCACCAGGGAGCATGGCTGGCTGGCATGTGGTGCTGGGGATTGAACCACGGTCCCTGTGCTTTGCTAAGCTTGCTCTAAGTAGGTGCTTTAGACCACCGAGCCATCTCACCAGCCCAATCATGGTTAAATCTACATAATATAAAATCTGGCACTTTGCCCATCTTCAAGTGTCCAGCTAGCTGTCCCAGTGCTTCGTGTGACCGTCACTGACCATCTGCTCCAAAATCTCTCCTATCCACAAACCTGGATGTCCAGGTATCGCTTCCCTGACAACCACCGGGAAGCGTCACGAGAGTAGGACCGTGCACTATTTGTCTTTCCTTACTGACTTACTTCACTTAATCCATTGTCTCAAGGTCTATCTCTGAGGTAGCAAGGGTCAGATTCTTGTTTTCAAGGCTGACCAGTATTCTGCTTCCCGGACAGAAAACATGGGTGATTATGCTTTTACTCCGTGGGCACTTGGGTGCTGAGTCTTTGGCTGCTGTGAGCAATATGCTTTTATGAACACTTGAGTCTGCAAACACTTGAGTCTCTGCTGTCAGCCTCTGGGTATGTACCTGGATGTGGCATTGGGGACCATGTGGCAGTCCTGTGTTTAAGGTTTTGAGGAACTGCCATAGGGTTTTTCACAGCAGTGCCATCATTTTATATTCTCATGCTCCTGCCAGCACTGTGTGTGTGTGTGTGTGTGTGTGTGTGTGTGTGTGTGAGAGAGAGAGAGAGAGAGAGAGAGAGAGAGAGAGAGAGAGAGAAGTGACAGCTACCCTAACGATGTGAGGGTGACGTCTCTGTACGCCTGTCTAATGATCTGTGATGGCAAGCATCCCTCGGTGTGCATCTTCTTTGGTGAAATGTCTATTTAAGGCCTGCTTTGAAATTGGGTTGTCTTTCTGTTGCGGAGTTGTGGGGAGGGTTTTTTTTTTTTTTTTTTTTTTTTACCTATTCTAGAAATTAATCCATCATCATGTGTATGTTTGCCAGATATTTCCTCCCAAACCCTTGGAGTGCTTTTGTTTTTGATGCACTAAAATTTTTAATTTTGAATTTACCTATTTTTGTCTTTTGCTAGCTGTGCTTTGGTGTCATATCCACCGCCAAAGCCAACATCACAAAGCAGCCACGTTTCCCATTGAGGAGGTTTACTTCTGGATGTAGTGTGAGGCAGGGACACAAAGCCAGCACATCCCAAATAACCTCTGACTCTACCCCTGCCAGCCTCAGGCTTCTGCCAAGTCCTCGCCTTTTCTCAGGTGGCTTCTCAGAGAGCAAGCACCACCTCATCTCTCTTCCTCCTCCTCAAAGCTCTGTGAATTGTGCCTCCTCCCTGTGTTTCCTTGAAATCACTCTCCAGAGTGACTTTCCCTGGCTGCATCCAATTCCTTCTTATCTCCTGTTCAGACAACTCCAATGGATCTTCTTTCTGGCTTTTGATTTTTTGAGACAGGGTCTTACTACATAGTCCAGCCTGGCCCGGAGTGGTCCTGAGGTGCTCCCTGGCTCAGCTTCCCAGGTGCTGGGATTACAGTCCTGCACCTCCCTGCCTAGCTGTCCCCTCACAGCACTCTTTGGGATGCATTCTCACCATGCCACTGCCCTGGCTCCAG